GCCCAAAAGAACATTTTAACTTCTTTGATGCTGCTTCAGAAAGCTTCAATTGGAGAGCATTGGGGTTTCCTCCAGTTCTGGGGTGCTAGGGGCCGAGTGGGAGTTCAGATTTTACAGGAATAAGTCACACGCAGTGACTTCTATCAGAGGGGCTTCCTCAGACCGAAAGTAGCTATGTCAGGTGGCCGCTTAGTTCAGAAATCCTGGCTGGCGTCACCTTCCAAGGCCCTGACGGGGCAATAATGCAGAAGTAATAAAAGTCTGCCACAAAGCTCAGTGCAAAGTCTCGAGGCCTTGGCTTGGGCTGAGCTGCGTCAGGCGGCTGTGGCCGTCCCTTTTCCCGTATGAGCTGGTCACGCCTGCGGTTGCGCTGCCGCAGGGACTCGGGACGTGGGCAAGTAGAGGGCAGGAGTTCTGCTCTGCGTTGCTGCAGAGGAGAACGTGGTACCCAAAACAGGGGAATGCGGGAGTAGTTAATTCGGGCTGCGTGCTTCGTCATTGGTCTTCATGGAGGCAGGGTTTTAGCTCAGCAAAGCGTATCGTTGCTCTTAACCTGTTCTGTAAGCCTCCCTCACGTTATGTGCTTATGGCAAGGTATTACCTGAGCTGCATTGTTATTTCCCTTTGACTTACTTTATATTCTGCTATGCGCTCCCATCTCTTTGGAGAACAAAATGCTGCATGAATGCCTTACGGGCTCTTTCTCTTTCACTGACCTTTTTTTATGACTTTAAAGAAGTTTCCCTAGGCCCAAGTCTGCTTTCCGTCTTGAATATTGACCTTAGAGTTACACCATCTTGTCGCCGCTGCACGCAGACTTCTCAGCTATCAAAGTTCACCCACAGGACTCAAAGTATTCCGAACTCGGAAACACCTTGCCTCTTACGCCCTCCTCCTCTTCTCCCTCCTTCCTCCACATGAGTATTTGAATTTCACAAGTAATCTCTGTTTTTCTGTGAATTTTGATGAGTGGTTTACCTGTTTCATGGTAAAAATCGTATTTCAAATTTAAATGTCTTTTTCGCTGTGACTGTCATAATATTTTCCATTTGAGGCTGAGACTCCACTGTGGGTTTTCTGTGCCACATTGTCATCTCTATGAATCTGAGCTTAAATGTGTGGAAATTCTGACAATTCAGTAAGAAATATAAAGTGTTTTTTATGTTCTTCGAGTTAGCTGTTTCATAGGTATGGCCGCTGGGTTTTGCCCAGTGCCCTGGTCTTTCCCAGTTCGACAACAGATCGAAGACTTCTCAAGGTTTTGGGCTTGTTTGCGTTCACTGTATTGTGTCATTTCTATGAGAATGAGTGATGGTAATTTTTTATCTGATTGCTTACCCTGAAAAGGTGATACAGGAATAATTACTCCAAACCAGGGATTTCCAAACTGACTTTGCTTGGTGCTACGACCATTGGCAGAGGCAGTTACGTACAGTGCTAAATGTGGTGTCTGTGAACCGTGGTCTTCAGTGGGGAGCCCAGAGAAGGCAGCTTTATACCAAGCAAGCTGAGCCAAAATTTGAGTGGATTCACAGTGGAAATAGCTCCAGGGTGAGGGCTGCCTTCAGTGGGGCTTGGAGGGGGTTCTGGTAGGCTGTAGCACTGTTGGACTCTTTGCCTTCAAGTCAATGGTCTGTGGACCAAGACTGCTCGTGCCCAGTAGTGTGAGCCATGTGTTTTAGGGGCAAATTTAGACTACTGATGTTTACCTACTGTACAATATTTGACAAAGGCTGAAATGTCTCTTGGCAGTCATGTAGTTTCGTGTGGTTGGTTGTTACGTGGAACAAAGTACGCTGTTGAGGAGATCACCGAATTGAATTCCCGTATATGCTTTTACATCTTTCTATTGGGTTGTATGAATTATGGAAAAATGTACACCCACTGGCAACGTGGTGCCAGGTGTACGTATTTTTTGTCATGAGTTACTTTGAGAATACGAGAGGAAATTTGCAGTTATGTCAATGACTTGACATTTGTCACAGCAACAAGGTTTCCTAAAATCCAGGTTGTAATTGCTACCTCAGCTCACTGCACCTCTAACCAAATAGGCTGTGAGCATTGCTGGTGACACAAACTGCAGCTGTCAGAACCGATGCTGCTGTGGTCTGACCCGATCAATTGTGCTGCAACCCAAGCCACAGTCATTTTGTATAATTTTATAGTATAAATCAAATCTTTCGCGTATGGAGGAGCTATGATGTGATTGCATCTGTACAGCAGCAGGGACAGAATTTGGAAATGAACCCAAGGGAGTTGTATTCAGTCCTACTCAACTGGAGCACACAAACGTTGTTCTTCGTGGTTGTGTCTGAGCAGCTTCCAGCTGTGTGTTAGGCAACATGACTAACGTTTGTCACACGTTGTTTATCCTCTTATCTTCTCCCCAGAGGAAGGAGCGTGTGTGCTGGAGTATTTATTTCCTTGGGGAGTTCTGTTCTTCAGATCCCCGTATTGTGTGCAGAAATTGTGCCTTCATCATTAGCTTTTATCATCTCTATGAAGCTTGAGATTTGATGGAATTTGGATAGCTGACCATCACTGGAAAAGTTCAGCCTTACTGTGTGTGAATAGTTTGTGAATTTGTTGCAATGCAGGGGCAACCGTTTGGAGAGGTGTAATACCAACTTTTTTTTGGTTGTTGAATCAGTTTTTCTGTAACGCAAGCTTGTGGGGGAATAGGTTTCTCTGTGCTAGACGATAATATATTTCATTAATCGTAGCGACCTCTGGAATAGCTGAAAGCAATCGTCCCTTTCCCTTGCATCTTATAGTTTATCTAAGTTGCTCGATAACCTGGTGTAGCCAAATCAGGTGGGCTAATTCAGCCCTGCTTCAGCTCAGTTATCTTAATCCCTTGAATTGCATTGCATTTTTATTTTTTTTTATTAAACACTAAGTGATCTTCTAATAAAAGCATCAAACTGACAGGCGTTGATGCCATCTAGATGCATGATTAAGCATTGTAATGGTGATGTTAAAAGTCTTTCTGTCCTAGGGAGCTGCCAGTATGTTTTCCTAAAGGTGCATCCAGAATGAGATCTCTGCTTTATGTTTAAGAGCTGAGGCTTGATCCAGATCGTTCACATCATGGGCAATTACTCTGGGAATGATAATGAGCCTCACACTCAGCCTCCACTGAGATTCCCTGTACCAACACCAGTGGCAGCAGCAGAGTAAGCTAGAGAACAAAAGAAATCGAAGACCACACCACCTGTATGGTTGAAGACCAAGTACTTTCCTGAGGATAAGCCTTATCTCTTACTAAAGGAAATAAATCCACAGTTTGACGCTTTTTTCCCCGATGGAGAATTTGGTTGTGTCACTGAACTCCACACACAAACAAACTTTGTGAGAAAAACAAACTTTTTGTGAGTTGTGTTCATTTAAACAAACCCCTTTTTTCTGAGACAAAAGCATCTGAAACATTTTGACCAGCTCCAGTACCAGAGGCTCAGGCTTTTCCATCTTCCATCCTGCGGGTGATGTGGGGCCCGCACTGCGGTGTGTGCTGGTCCTGCAGAAGCCTCAGAGAATTTCTGTGGCTCTGGTTCTTTCACGTTTAGGGCTTCAGCCCCAGCGAAGGAGCCCTCTGCCCGGCTTCCTGTCGGCAGAGTGTCCTCGCTGCAGCTTTCCCATCTCAGTAGTGACGGTGCATTTTGGCTGGAATTGGTACAGCTTGGATTTCATTAAATAAAAGACAGTGACAAGCTTTCAATATTGGGACAAACCCAATAGAAACATGTACATTATCCAACAGAGCATGTTCTCAGTTTCTTTGGCCAGAAACCGAAATTCTTACCTAAGATTTTCAAAACTCTAGAAGAAGTTTGAGCTTCCCCATCCCTCAGCCAGCTCTGAAAATCACAGCCGATGGTGTTTTACTGGGCTTGCAGGACTGACTTAATAGCTCTTTAGTTATTAGAGAATAAATGTTCATGTTCTGCAAGTTTAAATTATATTAAAAACCTTTATTATCATGACTTGGCAGGATACACTTCTGGCTAGCTTTCTGGCCTTGGATTAGGCTATTATTGGAGTTTCTGAATGACATGCTATGAAAGGGATATACTTTATGAGAATCTGGTGCCAGGTTTTGCATGTCTTAAGAGGCATTTGCTATTTGTTCATAATGTTGCTGAGTAGTGAAACAAAAAAAAAGTAGATATTGAAAATTGGAGCTACATCTTGCGTTCATCTAGCTTGATTTTCATCGTACGTGTGCTTTTCTATTTTTATATTTATACATTTACATTTTATATATATACATTTACATTATAGATATATATACACATATCAAGTCTGTAATGGTTGGACTTGATCATCTTAGAGGTCTTTTCCAACTTTAATGATTGTATGATTTATATTATATGTATTTTAATATTATCCTATTTCTATGAGTGACTGCTAGCAGCTCAGTCCTGGCATGTAAGAGTGCTGTTGCCAAAGGTTTTTCCTTTGTTGTTGTGTTTTATTTTCCAACCTTCCCCTGGTAATTTTGGCAAAGTTGCCTCTATGAAAACTCAACTCCTTTGGGCCACGAAATGGGTTTTCCCACAGCTGGGAGCAGAATTAGGCCACTGGGGCAGCTCGGTTTTGTGAAGGCAACTGCTCATGCCATGGGCAAAATGTCTCAGCAGTTTCTTTCCCACGAGACTTGGTGACACGCAGGCAGTGCTGGGGTGTGATTCAGCTGTTCAGTTTGTTTCCCCCTCTCGTCGTCTGTTTATTTGCTTTGCGACCAACAAGTCCGCCTCTTTTTCCTTCTGCTGATGCTGCGCATCAGCGTGAAAAACGGATGGGGCGAAGTACCCGGCTGGTGGGAGGAGGTGTGTGTGGTGGGAAAACGGGGCTGGGAAAAAAGGCCTGGGACTTGAGTAACCTTTCTTGGGTGTCTTTCCATTGCAAGAGTTGTTTGTTGCGAAGGTGTGATATTTTTTTTTATATAGCAAAATGTAGGTTGCAGTGGATCTGACCTGATGCTCTCGTTCTTTCTGCAGTGGGGAAGCCTCACAAGTGCAACTACTGCGGCCGGAGCTACAAGCAGCGCAGTTCGCTGGAGGAGCACAAGGAACGCTGCCACAACTATCTGCAGAATGTCAGTATGGAGGCTGCCGGGCAGGTCATGAGTCACCACGGTGGGTGGAAACCGTCTTTTGAGGTCTCTTGGACTTGGAGCATCTCTTGCGGGTTTTTTTTCTGTCTGTTTTTCTTCCTTCCTTTCAGCTTTTCATCACTTCTGTCTTACAGATTGGTTATACTCAGATAGGCAGGAGGAGAAAAGATGGGCTAAAATCCTCGCTCTGTCCAATTTAACAGCACTCCTTTTGCTGATTTTTCTTTTTTTTTAAGTCGGTATTTCACTTTTTAGTATGTAGAAGTATGCAGACATGAAAATAAAACAAAGTCACCTGTGCAGAGTTATCCTAAAATTAACTAAGCCGAGTATAAAATGTATGATTCTCCTCCCCATACTTTGTGATAATGGTAAGAGATAAGGATGGTGGAGGTATTCAGAGGTCATTCTTTCCACTCTCTCTAATATTATCTTTTATCTCCAAAAAAAGGGAGGGCTAGATATAAAAATCTCCAGAGCAGAATGGAATTTAACAGTGTTGATGGAAGTAATTATAACCAAAATAATGTTGATATGCATTTACACGTTCGTATTAATATGTTAACTAACACTGCATGTGTTAATATACATAAAGACTGAAGACTGCCAAAAAGATTGTCGAAAGCAAGAAATGTCAAACTCGGAATTTGTTTGTAAAAAATTGTATAGCTGTTAGTATGGATAATGAGCATAATGTCTTAGACTGCAGGGTTGTAGGCTTATCTATTGCACTAAATACTGAATGGTAGCTGTCTAAAAATTGTTATAACTTCAAAAATAGCGTTTCAGAAACTCTTCTAAAACTGAATATCTTCACTTTTCAAAGTAGTCTTTAGCTGTTTGATGCTTGAAGTATTGAGAATTTATTACTAATCAGAAAATAGAAAAAGTATATGTTTTCCATTTTGATTAAAAATTACCATATACCAAAGCATACCAAGAAGTTAGATTGTAGGTAAATGAAAAGGTGAAATAATATTTGCTCTATTTTTTTTTTCCATTTTGCTTTTCATTGGTGAGTGGAATCGTATGGCTTCATTTGGAAATGAATTATGTAAAAGTTTTGAAAGTTCGTTTCTAAATACCTATAAATACAAACTGAAATGAAATCTATTCAGCATTTCTAGTATGGGCTATTTTTTGGTGAGGAAAACAAAAAAAAGTCAGAAAAAAATGTTAAAGAGTGCTTTTCCATGAACAATTTTATCTTACAAAGGCATTTAAAATGTATTTAATACATATTGCCAGAATGTTCATGCAGCTCTATGAAGTAATTACTATCTTTGTAGACAGCCTGGAGACTAAAATCAACCTTTAAAATGTAATGGATGACTTTAAAGGCATTGAAGTTGGTCATTATCTGCTTTAGGCCTGACTTTACACTTGTAAAAGTCAGTGGAAAGGCTGATTTCAGGGCTTTGCTGTTCGCAGGTCCTTGTTGTGTGCTTGGTCTGTTAGATGGAGCACGCAGTTGATAGCAGGATTTTAACCACCGTTCTCAACAAAATGATTCACCAGCTGGGTGGTGATTTCAGTCAGCCTTTCCTTAGGGAAATCGCAGTAGGCTGAGCTAGTTGTGACAGCCAGGATGTTTCAGAGGTCACGTTGTGGAGAATCCTCCCAAATTCCACTCAACGTCTGGGTTTCTTATTCAGTTATTTATTAAAATTGGGTCTCCTTCTGTTGATAGTGTACTTCTGAGGAAATCTAAAGCTTTTTCTAAGCGGCTTAATGCTCTGACAAGAGGAGTAGGTCCTTAACCTTATCTGTCCAAAGAAGCTGGAATAGTTAACCTTCCATTGATTTCTCCACCAACTGAAGTTAAACCAGTGCAAACCCCATGTGGACAGTTCTTTTATTTACAGCATGACTGACTTTGCTTCAGCTTAAAAAAGAAAAGTTCACACAACCACTTTAGTTTTCTCAACGAAATTAGCTTAAAACAGCACTTTGAATTCAACTAGTGCCTCTTTCTCCTCTGAGCACGTATGCCTACATCTCCCCTGGTGAACGTTTAAGGGATGTTTGATCCACTGTCTTCATTGCACTGTTTAGTGAGGGCATAATGAGGACAGGCAGTGACAGGGAGCTCCAAATTCAGCTGGGACCAGTAATAAATCTCACCTTGCATCCCGTCATCAATCCCACCCATGCAGATGAGCATTGAGGGTCCTGCTCACCAACCTGTAGAGATCTCCAGCAGAGTCCTTTCCCCTGGGACTATAAAGGGAAGAGTATACAAATGATTACTCAGCTTAAAGTTAGTTCTCAGTCTAACCCTGAAAAATGTATTCATTTCTTTTTCTCCCATGTCACACATGGGAAGGATATTCCTGGGGATGAGTGAATGCGTGCTTTGGAGATACGGATCATTGGTTTATTCTGAATCACATTAGGATTAAGATTTTCTGACTCTCTTTCCAAATACTTCTAAGGTATTTTGTTCTTGCTGAGTGTTTTGAAGCCCCTGAAAGCATTTTGGTGTGACTCCTGGTCACAACTTCACCATTGTGTACCAAATAGGTAGAGGTGGGGATTTTCTTATCCCTGCCAGCATCCTGCTATAAGGATGCAGGTGGCTATGCTGCGTCTCCACTAATATGGCCAATGTTTAACATTGGTCAAAATTAATTTTGCAGAGATGAATATGAATTGTTCCAGAAAACTGGAGGCAGCCTCTCAATAGCTTGGACTTTTTTCAAGCATTGTGCTCAAGTTGCTCAGTTTATAGGCATGCTGCAGACATCTACTTGGGTGCTTTCACCATGGCCTGATCAGGCCTTTAATTTTAATCATCTTTGTCTTGCAGATGGCTGGATCATCTGACTAAAGCCACAAGGGGAAATGAGAGGAGGGGAAGGAGGGCTAGTTTCAGTGTGTGGGCAGGAATGTACCAGTCTCTGGATGTCTCCATCCTCTTGCAGGGTGCTGGTTGCTTGCTGAGCTGCCCCTCCTGGTGGCTGGGGTTCTGTTCCCTGCTCACCACGGTAGCTGCTGCAAGAGAGCTCCCAGGACTTTGTTGTTGGCAATTTTCGGCTAAGCAATACTGACCCCAGAGGTAGGAATTAGTCTGTGGTCACCTAGCTAGCAGCGTGGTAGGGGTGACAGAAGCGACAGCCTCAGAATGCCAAGACCATGACCTTTTTGGGAATGAACAGGAAGGAATGTTGAAGACTAGCTGTGGTTTATGTTCTTCTCCATCTCCACAAAGCAAAAAGTCCAGGGAAATTCTTAAAGTGGAGTGGAGAAGGGTGCTCTTTTTAGAAGAAAGAGAAAGAAGCCTAGCCCTAGGCTGTGTGAAGCTCAAAGGCCAGCTCCACATAAAACACACAATGCCCTCATGTCCTTCCCTCTTACATAGCAGCTCAAAATATCGTTAAAACGCTGGTCCCACAGGAGACTTCACACCAGGGTCTATGGGAATATTTCCTGTCAGTTCTCTGCATACACACACTTTTTAAAAATTGCAATATTGTAAGCCTAAGAAAGGAAATTGAGGTTGGAGTAATACTTATTTGTACCAGCTGAGACTTAGCCCAAAGTCTGTTGTCTGCACACAAAACTATTTATCAGTAAAACACACACTGGGTAATTATTTTACTTCTTTTTGCCCTATTCTTTCCTCTCTGCAACAGCATAAACTTTTTTTAATCGTATGTGTGCTGTCTTACGAATTAAGAAGCAGAACCTAAAAGACAGCCACTGCGAGCACTGTGATTGAGAGACTGGTGTTTTCAGGAGAGTAAAGACTTTGTTCTGAAGATGATCCAGGTTTGTGTATTTGAGTGTTTGCTTAGAAACAACATTTGGTGTTAACTGCAATTGAGGACATTAACAGTGTCAGAGATGGTGAAAATTTACATCAGCAGTCCAGGAGCACACCCTGCTAGCTGATGAAGGACATACCTGAGCAGAAACATACTCAACTGTGCACTTTTCATGGACTAAACACTCGAATTTTTTTAGAATTAAAAAAAACTTCCTGAGCGAAGACCATAAGCTCACAGCATAAGATGAGTTGTTGTATCAAAGCCAGTTATAACATGTCAGCTGTTCTTCCGTAGCTTCCACCACCAAGGTAATGAAGTACAATAAAATACAACAAAAATTGCATTTACTGCAGAGTGAACGTGTACACATGAGCCTCTAGCACGGGACAGCTGATTTGTGACAACTGTTGGTTGTGTGTGAGCGGTTTGCTTTTTCCCTTTTTTATTTTGTTTTTCCTCACAAAAGAAAAATGCAGGCTGGGCTGTTTGTCCTTTATTTTTACATTTTTAAATTAAAATGAAAATTAATGCATCTAGAATTGGCAATGTGATCCTTAGCTTAACTCCTTGGGTTTTTAAAATGTGACGTCTCACCTTTCTGGTCCAGTTTTGCATGCAATTTAAATGGTTTCAAATGGTTTCCATCTCTCCCTTCTCTCAAGAAATCTACACAACAAAACACATCCCAGTAACTTATTCCCATCGTAACACAAATACTGGCATGATTCAGTGATGCTGTTGCAAAAGAGCCATGTCCCAGATTATAGAGTTGAGTTCTGTGGTAAGAGAGAGAGCTTGCAGCATGAAAGATAGAAAAGAAAATGCTTTTATTGGTGATAACTTTACTTTTAAAAGGAGTCCAAGCAGAAATTTTGCCTGACGTGGAGAAGAGCAGATGTCTTTTTTAGCACTATTCATTTTTCCTGGAAGAAAGGTTTCAAATTCTGTCTAGGAAATTTTACACACATATGCCCAACAGTAGAATTATTTAATTATTACCTAATTGTTACGAGGCATACAAATGTCACTACATTTGAGGCTTAATCAGATGGCTGTGAAAGTAATCAGCAGGTTTTAAACTGATTTTGTGGGCAAGTACAGTCCTACAAAGCCAGCATAACTTTTGGAAGTTTTCCTAGGAGTGATTTAGAGCCCTCTGCGCCTCCCTAGATCCCCACCACCAGCCTCGTGTGTCCCGTACACCAACGGCTGGAAATTCTTCAAGTGGCACTCGTGCAAACCTGGCCCGTGGCAGGGAGGATGGTATTGTCACTGCACGGGTATCCAGGGCTTCACGCAGGGTGTGCGTGCATGTGCATGCACATTCTGATTTTTGGTAAGCCAAAAGGACAGGCAAACCCCAGTTCCCAGTGAAAATCAACAGACGTAATCTTTCCTTTCTTCCAAAATCTCCTCGGTAAATACTTGAATAGAACTAGTGCAGATAGCTCCTGACCAAGCACAGTATTTAAATAACCTTAAAAATTTAGCCTCAGCTATTAAAGTATTCCAGACCTCCCAGTCTGCGCTGGACATAAGTTGGGTCACTTGAACATTGCATCCCATTTTGTTGCAACATTAGATTCATTTCATATTTATGCTTTTTCTTTGTCTCTTTCACTGATGCCAGCAGGACTGCCTTGTAAATGAGAAACCATTGTGTTTCTCAGGGGGAGCATCCTGTACAAATAAAAAAGCAGCAGAGTAAATCATTTTATAGCATATGGTAGTTTCTAAGCCTCAAAGTACTCAGCTTTCCATAGCAGCAGAGGCACAAATGGAATCAAATTAATAAATTGCCATGTTTTCTTGTTATGAATGTCTGAATTGAGAAGTTCACCTGAGCAGTTACCCTGTTTTGTCATTGCCTGGTATTTGCTCTTCCTTACTCAAAAGAAGGCAAAGACGAGGTTTTTGTCACCCCATTTTTCATGGATAATGTGCTAGCAAACAGCTGCATGTTTAATAACGGGGGAGTGATTCTTCCTTATTAGGATCCTGAGGGGAGTAAAGTGACATGGGAGGATGGCAGGCTGCTGGTGCTCATTTATAGCACAGTCTCAGGAAGAAGGTATCTGTGAATACTTTCAGCCAGAGAAGGGCTGCTGTGGTGAGAGACCAGAGGAGGACTACCAGAAGATGTGGGTTTCAGTGCTTCTCTACTACCTGTGCAAAACCACCGGTGACTCTGGAACATTTATCTTGTACAGAGAATGCGATGGGTTGCTCATTGTTTACAAATTGTAGGAACTCTTCGCAAGATCATCCCGGTTTCTATTTCTCTGCCATCCGTTCTCCTCCTCAAGTAATTTTTACACCTCAACCATCCTTGTAGCACACAGACTAGTGGCTGATCCTTCTCACGTTTCTCCTGCTCCCTGATGAAGATGAATGCAGGACAATTAGGCCGTGTATTAGATTCATGGCAGCAGAGCAGTGGGAAGAGCTACACGTGGAATCACACTTCTGACGTATATCGCAAGCCCTGTGCAAGTTGGTGGCTACCCTGGTCGGTAGCCCACACAATTCCTGTACTACTTTTGCTCTAGCACCTTATTCCATAACCCAACAAGCAGCAAAGAGTGAAATGAATAAAGACAGAAGGGGTCATTAATTTCCTGTTATTGTCTCAAAGACAATATATGAGCGTTTCCCTGATGTAGTTAGCACAGGAATGCTCCCTGCTGATGCCAGAAAGTGGAGGACAGACACAGAAGACTTGCATTCACTGGTTGTTAGGTCTGTATTTGAAGGGATAAAATATGATCAAAAAATTGATAGCCTCTGCAACTGATTGTGAAGGGAATTCCCATACGATGTTAATCCTGTAATCCTAGTACAGTGTGTGTTGATTTTACAGTCTCACATAGAGAAAGAGGAAACACACTTTGACAAACAGATACTTCATTCCGGAAGTCTTGGTCTTGGGGAAAGCGCAGCCGGGCCCAGGAAATGCAAGTCACCAATGCCTTGTGTGTTCTTTAGTCATTGAGATTAGCATGGAAAGAAAGTAAGAACAGTAAGTGTGCCGTACGATAAGTGTGAAATTAAGGGAATCCACAAAGAATGGTAACCAAAAAGTTACACTGGTAACAGGTGACTGTATTGAAGGGAGAATAACACAAAATGTGATCTACAGAGTGAGTTTTCAAAAGTGTTCCCCCCTCACTGGGGCCCTTAAATATTCAGAACAAAACAAGTCCTTTAATAAAATGCTTAAAGTTGGGCTTCTGCTAAAGAAGATGGTCCCAAAGAGGGGTTTTGTAAATATGGCTCTGCTTAAAGGTGAATGTTGTCGATGCCCAGTGTGTTCCTACACTTTGCTGTATTTCGTGTTGCACCATTAGCAGGGCTCGAGTGATTTGTGTTGTCTGTGAAGTGTAGACCAGACTTGTCTGATACGATTTCTTGGTTTTATGTAGTACCGCCTATGGAAGATTGTAAGGAACAAGAGCCTGTGATGGACAACAATATTTCTCTGGTGCCTTTTGAGAGACCTGCTGTTATAGAGAAGCTGACAAGCAACATGGGAAAGCGTAAAAGCTCCACCCCACAGAAGTTTGTGGGTAAGCTTGAAATACGCCTTTTATTATTTTTAGTGCGTAGGTATAGGTCACTTGTAAATTGTAACAGCCAAAAGAACAAGAGGAAAAGTAGCACCCTCAGGGCTTTGTTGTGATGGGGAGGGACAACAATGGAGATGGTTAAATCACAGCAAGAAGTCCTGAAAATTGTTGAATTCATTTTACTGACCCAGAGAATTCAGAAGTGAGGTGCCCAGAATTAGAAAATCTTGAGCTTTTGACTGTGCCTTAAGGCTGTTCTGGTTTTTTTTTAACTTTTCTCTGGCTTTTTTGAGATTTAGACCTGTCATCCTTCCCTCCCTTTGCTCCAGCAAATAATAACTAAGACTCTCATATAATTATCTGTCTCTATATGTGCGTGTATGTTAAAAAACCCCAAGTATCTCAAGACTTAAAGCTTATATTAAATTCTTGAGAGTTGGCAACTACTGGTCCAATACCGACATGAGGAAGTAAAATCACGAGGCTTCTGTTGGAAGAAGTGCTTGCCACAGGCGCAGCGTTCTGCGCACAATGAACTTACTAGTGCATGAATATAAAACAGCATTGGGTGACTTTTGGCTACCAAATTTACCTAGGCCCAGGATTCATATTTTGACATCTTAAAATGGTTCTGCTTGTAACAGGAGACAGTGTGGGGAATTTTATTTGGTTTGAGCTGAAGCTTGAAGCTGCTTCTTGCTGCTACTGAGGCAGTGCTAAACTTAAGAGAGGAGCTGGGACAGAGAATTATTTGGCTCAAGTGTGTGCTGCTAGACTCCAAAGTCATGTAGTACACATTTTCCACAATCAGTCCCTGGAAGGACACTCGTGCAGATTTTAAGGGGGTCACATACACGTTCTGCCAACACGGAGGACATTTACAGGGAGAGGATCAAAGCCTGTAAGCAATTAATGCAGCCATTTAGAGAAGTCATTGCCCCTCAGCTAAATGCAGATTCAGATGGATTTGTTAAAGCACCGCTGAAGGCGATTTTAAGCTAAACCACATAATTTTGAATAGTAGGGGGCTAGCAGCATGCGGCAGCTCACCTGGGGGGCACTGACACACTGACCTGGCTGCTCTCAGTCACCTGACCATTCCCAAATATCAGCGCTAAGCCAAGGTTGGGTCAGGAAGAACCCAACCCCCAGGAGGAACGCTGGGAGATGACAGTATTTCAGATATAGTTATTAGTCCTTCTGAGATAAAAGCTTAACTGTTAGACCACTGTCTTTGAGTGGTCTGAAATGAATTCCTGTGAAGTTGATAAGAACTGGAGGGTTTATACTCTGATTTAATTTCCTGCTGTGACAACAGTTGAGGGTTGAAGAGGGTGGAAATGGGAGCAGAACTCTCTACTGTCAAGCCAAATATTGCTTTATGAGATTGTAAACATGGCCCCATCATCGCAGGTTTCCCCTGTGTTGTCTCAGCAAGTGCTGTACATTCTTGCAGGTTGTGATCAACAGTGAAATAGTTAACCATGCTGACACTTAAGCTGGTGTGTCTAGACCTCAGAAACTGTACAGCCTCAAAAGGAAGAAGGGCGGTTCACACCCCTCACTCTTTTTGCCCCAGGTTGTTCACAAACTTGAACAAAGTTGAGTTTGCGATACTCCTCAGAGGTTACCTTTGCAGGGGCTAGAGACTTCATCTGAGAGGGCTGGAAACCTTGCTCCTTTCCCTTAAATTCCGGGGTACCCATGCAGTATGGTTTACTGATTATAAGCGTACCGCACAACTGAGGCAAACCACTTTTTGGGTGATATAAATTGAGTGAATTTTTGAAAGCTGTAGCTAGCGATCTTAGTTCTTTTACTTGTCCACTCACGCGCAGTTGACCATATGTTGGTATTATCTTCAAATGCAAATTGACTGATTGGAAATCCTTGCCTGAGATAGGCTATAGGAGTTTATTATTCTCTTCAGTAGAGTATGCTACTTTGTTGTTAGATGCACCTATACAAGAAACACTTTTAACACCAGCACTCTCCACTTTGCTACCTTTCTTTTTTTCACCATGACCTCACTTTTCTTCCCGTTTTCTCCCCAATGAAATATTGTTCAACTCTATCAGGAAGAACTTGTAATGGTTCTCTTGCTTGCAGGAAATTTTCCTGTGCATACTGTAAGTGTGGCATCTGTCCAAAACAACTTAATGGTGTTTATGAGAAGGTCATGTAAGCATAAGCAAAAATCTTTGCATGCTCCATCTATCAACACTTTACTGCTCTTTCTGATCACCAGTCTCCAAGGGACCTTGGTTATGGACCACAGGCTCTACTCTGGCTGAAATTTCAGGACGAAAGGAAGCAGCATACAGCAAGCAGAGTTAATATCTGAGTGAGAGACTTGGTTATATATCTGCTACTGAGCTACTTGTCTTACCAAAGCTATTGTAGAGGCAGAAAGTATAACTAATTATGCACAGGAGACCGAATACTTGTTTGTGCCTCTCCTTCAGTGAAGGGAGAAGCCAACCCTAGTGAGATTGAAAGCAACCCTCTTAGAGCTGATCACACAAAACAGATTCTTGTATTTTCAATTTGAATGTGGTGCTCACTCTCACGGAGTGTCACTGAGGTTAAGAACTGACAGGATACAAAAGGAGACATTTATGTGGCTTACAATAAGACCACGGTTGTTTTAGTAACAATTAAAAATACGCAGCCATCTCAGAACAGATGAATACCAACCAGCTTCAAAGTTAGAGCCAACTTCTAGTTAACGGGGGTCAGGAAAATACCTACCCGGTGGTAAGTTCTGTAACTGCTTTCTCCAAGGTTTCTTACAGCTTTCTCCCAAGTGTCCGGCATTGGAGTTGCTTTGATACTCGACAAGATGGACTACAGGTACCACAGGACAGCTGTGTCTGTGTGCTTTGACCTAGCTTCAAATACCTGTTTTGTGGGGTTTTTTTCATGTCATATGATAGGATGACCACAGTGGAGAATGTTTCTTCTCTTGCTTCACTAATGTAGGGAAGGAATAAATAGGATTTCAGCACAATTTTGCATGACAATTCAAAATGATGAATCTAGCTAGTTAGGTTGAAGTACAGATTTGACTGAAGAGGAGTTAAAATTGAAAACCACGTTGGGCTGGTTTGTTAATGTTTCTTCTGAGCTCTGTGTTTTATGCCCTCTCCTCCCCATGTTACCATTTATTTTAGTTTTTTTATGTCACACTCCATTTCTAAGGCTGTGACATCTTTGGAACTGGTTCACAATTAAAAGAATGAATAATTCAGGTCACTGGCAATTTACAGTTTTCTCTGCCCTGCTGTCTGTGGTGGAGTAACTAAACATGGAAGATAAAAGGAAAAAGAATAAGCTTAGCGTCTTTCATCCACATAGTCCAGAAAGGGCAGTGTTAGGAGGCTGGATCAGACTCTCACCACATCCAGTTCTGTATTCAAACTTGGGAACGATACGGGTGGCCAGAGCTGGTGACAGGAACCAGTGGACTTTTCCACTTTCATTTCTTTCTTCTCATTGTGCCAAACACACCACACACTTCCTGGAGCTCTCCTCCAGTCCCACTTCGGCCCCACCTGGGAAGGAGCTGCTCAATTTCCAGTGAGGCCAGAGCCACCTTGTGTTAAAGAGTTGTCCATCCTGTCAGTGGCAGGACAGCCGTCACAGCAAGTCTGCCAGCCCACGGCAGAAACACTGCAAAGGGGATGTTTGATGGCAAAAATAATCCTTGGGTCACGTTAGATTACCAAGGCCATCTTTGTAGCACTGGTTGCTTCTTCCTTCCCCATCTTTGTCCACATGTCTCATGTAGAACAAAGGAAGAGTTTTCTTCATTAAGCGAAATGCAGCCAGCTGGAGGGAAGCGTAGTGAAGTGCGTGAACATGGTGTCTGGTCAGAAGCACATAAGTAGTATTGCTGAAGAGAGTGCGGATGTTCACGTGCTTCACTTTAGACTTGCATTTAATTACCTTGCTAATCAGGGCTAAGTTTCCAAGCAAAAGTGACGCATCTTCTCTAAGGATAACATGATTGTTCCGTGGGTAATGTAAAATGATTTCTCACTTTAGGCATCGCTTCAAGATAAGCCACACTAAGTGGAATGAATTATTATAGTTAAAAAATGAAATGCTGAGTGATAGCTGTGTCGAAAAGTACTAATGCTATTTGGAAGAGCATTGGGTTTACAGTTCTGTTTCTTTCTTATGGTGGTTTATGCACATTTTGTTCCAAGCAATTTTGGCAAAAGGTGATAGAAGATTCCTGCTCTTTAATTCTTGGATAGCCAAACCAGTTGTATGTAGTGACTCCCTGAATGTAGTAGCTTACACCATTGATATGTACTGAGGCACTAAAAAGCGACAAAGACAATGAAAACCAACAGAAATCTGTAAATTCAGCTTAAAAAGTTAACTGTCAACAATCAGCTAATATTTGTGTGTGTGAACACGTGAACGTGTATATCTTTTATCTTACGTGTCTAGTTTTACATCTAACCTGTTCTATTTCAAAAAAAGAGTTGTATGAACTTTCCTTGTACTGACACACTAAAGCCGTCACTTGAAAAGCAGTGCTGCTGAGCTGAGCCCTGGTGTAAGCAGCGGTAGATTTGTGAACTTCAGAGGAGAGCTGCAATGCATAACGTGCTCTGTGACTAGCACAGTTTGCCAGCGTGTGGTTCTGATTTCACCTATCTGCCATGCCATTGATCTAAAAAGGTTGCAAGGATGTCAATTCAGATTCACATAGTGATGAATCAACCAGCTTCATCATCAGTATGTATTTATTTATCCTGTGTCAATGAGAGTTGATTTTGCCTTTTACCAATCAAACTAAGCTATACTTGTTTGTTTCCTTGCCTAAATAGACACTGGGGTGTGTGTGTCTTTTTCTTCTCAGTCCAAAACATTGGGGACAGCTACAAAGATACCATAGCCTGAATGCAAGAAGGTCGCTCAGCCCCCGGTGTTCCTGTAACTCGCTCCATTCTGTGGCAGCATGCAGTCATTTTATATTTTTTGAAGGATTTCCCTATTGTGGCTCTAAAGCTGCCACCGTACTAAGCCCTTGTACCTGTTGCTTAGGCTTCTCACTATGCTGCCCTGCTGTAAGATGTGTATGAGGCACCTCAGAGTGCGGGGGACGTGTGGTACTGCCCTCTTTAATTTGGGGAGAGTGTGTCCTAATGAACTAAACCGGAGGAGCTTCCTTGACCTCAGTGGTTCATTCCCATTTTCTGCCAGTTAACGTGTGTTTCCTAACTTGAAGCATGGGCACAGTCAGGTCCAGTCGAAGGTTTGGACTCAGTCTGGAGGTTGCTGCAGCTGCATGTTTCACCTGGAATAATAAAAAAGCTATTGGTGAGGTTGCTGTTTTCCCCATCTCAGGACAGAAACTTTGTAGGAGGTCAGTAAACAGGTAGAAGGAGGCTGACTTTGGACTCTGGAGTGAATTCCACCCCAAGTCAGGGGTTTTTCTGTCCCTCCCCATCCCTTTTACAGTGAAACCTTGGAGTGATTACGTTGATTTTTCTCATTCATTTCCTCTTGTCCCTTAGGTGAAAAGCTCATGAGATTTGGCTATCCAGATATTCCCTTTGATATGAACCTAACCTATGAGAAGGAGGCTGAGCTGATGCAGTCTCACATGATGGACCAAGCCATCAACAATGCAATCACCTACCTTGGAGCTGAGGCGCTTCACCCCCTGATGCAGCACACACCAAGCACAATTGCAGAGGTGGCCCCGGTCATCAGCTCAGCTTACGCTCAGGTCTATCATCCTAACAGGATAGAAAGGCCCATTAGCAGGGAAACAGCTGACAGTCACGAGAACAACATGGATGGCCCGATCTCCCTCATCAGACCAAAGAGTCGAACCCAGGATAGAGAGGGCTCCCCCAGCAATAGCTGCCTGGATTCTACTGACTCAGAGAGCAGCCACGAAGACCGCCAGTCCTACCAAGGAAACGCTGCCTTAAATCCCAAGAGAAAGCCAAGCCCGGCTTATATGAAGGAGGACGCCAAGGCTTTGGATGCTACAAAAGCTTCTAAGGGCTCTTTAAAGGATATCTACAAGGTCATCAACGGAGAAGGGGAGCAGATTAGGGCTTTCAAGTGCGAGCACTGTCGCGTCCTTTTCCTGGACCATGTCATGTACACTATCCACATGGGCTGCCACGGCTACCGGGACCCGCTAGAGTGCAACATCTGTGGCTACCGAAGCCAGGACCGCTATGAGTTCTCGTCGCACATAGTCCGAGGGGAGCACACATTCCACTAGGCCTTCTCATCCAAAGGGGACTTGTATGAAGTAGAAGAACTGCACATGAAGAAATACTGCACTTACAATCCCACTTTTCCTCAGACATTGAGATGCCTATTTTGTTGTTGTTGCTGTCGTTGTTGTTGCTGTTGTTTAATTATTATTATTAACCTTATTTTTTTGTGGACCCAACCTCATTTTCTCTGCCCAGCTTAAGAATGGAAAGAAGGAAGGGAAGGGATAAAAAAAGAGGGGCTTGTATTTGCCGTCACTTTTTAGTGAGTGACCCGCCTTGCTTTCTGTGGGAATTGAAAGGCAGTCGGTTTCTGTCTCAATCAGCTGTACATCACGTCCTGTTTTGGGATATCGCTCAACCCTGCTAGGTGCTTTCAAGTCCTGACAAGATGCCACTCATTTACAATTTCAGACAAATAGGTAGAAACATTTCAGAGGAGAGCCTTTTTCAAACATGTAGATGCCATGTGGGATTCTGGTGGCTGGAGGAGTAAAGGGGGGAAATGTTGTTATGCAGAATGAACGGTTATTTTTAAAGCAAAACCGTTAAGGATTTAGGAGCACGAATCAAAGCTGATATTTCTTTCAAAATTACTTTCTAGAGTGAGCTGCTTTCCTGGGTTCAGTGTGTATTGCTCATCTAGAATGGAGAAAAAAACAAAAAGGAAAAAAAAAATAAAAGCAATGTATGTCTTAACACTGTACCACGTTACAGCAGTTTAGTTTCATAAGTCTGAGGGCCTTCTGTGGTCAGTCCGAGGCTTTGTAATTTTATTTTCCTTAACTTATGAAGCACCTTTTTTAGAATTGTTGATTTGCTGTTACTCCATGCCTATGTGTTGACTCACTGGCTTCTTAGAGACCCTTGGGAGCCTTACTTATGTAGTCGCCCCCTGTGTTTTAAGAAATAGCATTTAGGAAAAAAAACACATTTAAACTTGCTTCTAGGACAGTAAGTGGCCTAGGAGTGGGTGAGAGAGTTTGTAGTTTACTCAAGAGGTTCTGCTGCTCTTCTGAAATAATTTTGTTTTACAATTATGGATTTTAAAATTACAAAAGTACTAGTAGCAAAGGGTTCTTTAAATATAATGATATCTCTATATATACCTATATAAATATTTTCTCATTCTATTATCACAGTGTTAACCTCTTGGCAACAGCCTAAACTTAAGACTTGCAGCTGGGAAAATGCTCGGAGCCAACTCCTTGGCCAGCATTGATCCTCTTAGCTCAGTTGAATTTAATGGTACTACCCCAACTACTTCAGCTACGTCAGGATGCGAGCCTTGACCGTTTTTCTCTTGTTGACATCTTATTTGCTGAACCAGTGACTTCCTTTTGTTTTTGAGTCATCAATTCTGCTTTAATTTAGGAGTGGAACTATTTGCAGGTTGTGTTGGATAGCCTTTGCTCTTGGAGAGCACAGAAGCCCTGCTACAATCGGATCGCATAGGACCTTCTACTTCTTTAGAAAGTGTTACATGGAGATGCAGGTGCTGTGCTTTGATTGGGATTTGCAGATTTCATTTTTATTCCCAATTCATTAATTTCACTATAGGGAAAACAAACGGAGAAACAAACTGCAGAGCAAGTCCTTGAACTACAGACTGGACAAAAAACCCACCAAACTGGAATTGGTTTTGTTTCCTTTCTTTCTCTCCCAATAAATAACAAAGCCAGCAACCACCCAGCAAGTTGCAGGTTGCATCAGTAAAAACTGGGCTTAAACCTCCGTGACAGATTGCCATTGAAACCCAACTGTTTGTACCAATCACAATTGAAATGTTGTTTGGCAACAAGAGCGCAGCTTGAGGATTGGAAAGATCTGCATGGGTTTAACCCCCTCTGTGCACGCAATCTCCGCGCGCTTGGTGAGACCTTTTTCCAAAGTTACTCAAGTTACTAAAGTATAAAAGAGAGAGCAAGATCAGGCCATAATGAATTCCCATCTGCTCGCTTCAATCTGCATACTCGATGCATATGCCAGTTTGCTGTTCGTTTTGAGGGTACTGGTTTTTTTATTTCTTCTCTTCCTAGACCTGGAGCGTTTGAAAGTAGGAGCCGAGTGGTATTGATTGAAATCTTTTTATGGGGACATTCTTGGCAGCTAGTACCTGTGTTTAGAAAGGATACAGTAGATCATGGCCAGATTACCTGATGACTGCTTCCCAGCACTGAAATGCTATTAAGTAGGAGCTGGTAAAGTCTTGCAGTAGCCTATTAATTATAATACAATATGGAGAGAAATGTCATCTTGTGTAATGTGAGAGCTATCAAGGCTGGGAATGTACAGGCTTTGGAGAGACAGATTTAAAGACCTATTCCCAACATTGTTCTTAATGTCTCTGGGTTTCTCCCCCTCCTTCTTTCTTTGTCCTAATGTAGAGGAAACTCGGGCAAATGAACCACTGCCGTCCTCCAGACCATTCTCATTTTCTTGTGCTCGGTGCAGTAAAAGGAGAAAAACAGGGAGATGCTGGAGGGCATCACTTTTATCCCGTATGACTGATTCTCTGCAGCTATGAAGGTTGACCTAGGAAGTGGCCGGCCATGTTCTGCATCAGGATGTACTTGGAAATTCAGAAGAGGGGTTTGCTTTTACAGCATGCCACCAAAAAAAGAGAGAAAAGGTGGTTGTGATTTCAGTGGAGGCAGGAAAGGTCTTTTAAGAACAGTGTGCACAGGGGAAGGTGTTGGGCCTGAAGGTCACTGGGCTTGCGTGGGCCTCCAGACAGACGCATGCCTGAGCCAGAGAAAAGGGTTGCCAGCAATCCCTTTCAGTCTCTGGGGGACAGCTCTCCATGGGCTATGGTTTCTTGGAATAGTTAGCATTAGGGAAAAAGTGTTAAAAACTTCTGCCTGTGTTTGGGGAAGCACTGGAATACGGGAAAGGCAGAGAATCTCTTGTGTATCCACAAAGAAGTTGTCTGCAATTATAGCTGCAGTTCTTTAGCGTGCACTTTTGTTCATTGATGATTCCTCGGTACCTCCTGTAGTGTTTACTTGGTAGATGTTTAAACGATCAGACGTGGAGGCTCAGTGTATTTGTAGCTGGCTTAAGTTAAGCCCAAAGTCTTGTTCGAATGGTAGCATGCGAGATCTGTGTGTGAGCACTGCCATGTCCTGGTGTCACAGGCACACGGAGCTGGGATGCGCTGAGGAGACACGCTGGTTCAGTTACCTTCCAAAAACTGCATTTTTTTTGAGAGCGAGAAGCTGAGGGCTTGCATTAATTTTTATTACCAGTATCCTTTTCTGAGCACTTACTGAAGCTCTTCATCCTAGAGCTGGGGAAAGGAGAAATATTAAATTCTAGCTAAAAATTTGAACAAAGCTTTGGACTAGCATTTATTTTAACATTCACTTCCTATTGAAAATTATTGGAGGGTTTTATATGGAGCAGTTTGCCTCTGCAGGGAAGTTTGCAAAATGAGGCTGTAGGGTTGGTTGGGTGGTTTTTTTTTTCTTTCTTGCTCTCTGCGGATTTCTAAGAAATGCTCTTGTGCTTTGTCGAGCTGGTTCGTCATTACTGCGTACTAGGAATTTCAGTAGGTAACCTGTGGCCTGCAGATCCATTTGTTCTAAGTGTTGGGTGTTGGAAATCGAACCTGCCTAATTTTTATTGGACTCTCGTGAAATTCTTGGAATCGGGTTTCCAGTTAAAAACATGCATTTGCAAATTTAGAATTGGCTTCCTGTGAGCATTCCCCGTTTTCATTAAAACAAAAAAAAAAAGCCATTTCTGCACACGTCCCTGCCAGTAAACCCTTTTGCTTCTTTTCACATCAAAAATTGCAAGATTGTGACTCAATTTAGAGTATTACAAGCCTATTAATTGAAACGGAAGCGTGACTGCTTATTCTGCTCTCGCTATGATCCATATTCTGGAAGCAAAGGGCATTATCTATATATCTGCTGTTACGGCCAATGAATTTTTACAGCCACCTCTCTCTGCAGTCGGTTAGGAGTGTACATCAAAATATATAGCATTTTCAGTAAAGCCAGCTCTTTACTCAGTAACTTATGGGATTAAAACAATTTTATTCTCCTTAAAAAGTGCTTCCATCTATGAAGTGATGCGAAAGGTGTCTAGACATTAACCTCTATCGGCTTGTATTAGGGAAAAAGAATGTAAGTTTGTTAATCGGTCTGATTTTTAATGGTAGCAGTTTCTACAATGTAAGGACACAGCTCACAAAATAGCCGTGTGGAACTGAAGTATATTTCCTACCAGGTGAAGAAATTCTCAATTTTAAGAGTTTCCAAATTTCTTTCTGTTTACAAGGGCATTTCTAAACTGGGGCTGTCAGGCAGGAGAGGAGGCCAGGAATTAAACCAAATCCTTTCAGATTCGCCTTTAATAGGACATTATTGCTCTTGTCTAGGTCATGAGCTGGCTTTTTCATCTTTGAAAGAAGACAGACAACAGACACTCCTTCCTCCAGAAAGAAACTTTGGGGATAATTGAGGGAAAGGTGCTTATTTCAGCCAAGGACAGGAGCCACAGTAATACAGTTCTTTCACTAGATAATGTTCCTTTTCTTAGCTCTCGCTGTGCATTATAACGTTATGAGGAGGGAGGGGGGAGGCTGCACTGAGACACTGCCTAAGCTCGGTGTGAGATTTTAGGAGAAGTGTGATGGAATTGGCTTTGACACTAGAAATTTGCATCTTTGCTTGGCTTATTATCATGTAAAAACAAAAATGGGTGGTAGTAATGGCCTGCGGTCTAGGGCAGCTGGAGATTTTGAGAAAGTATATTTATATATATATGGTATCATATAATTAGATATATGCTTTATTGTATATGTGCCTTTTTCAAATGCATTTTGGAAGTTCACGATGTAATTCATGGTATCCTACCATACCCTTTCAGAATGCATGACGAAACCCAACCCAAAGTAAACATCCCTTCTCCTCCGGTGTAGCGAGGCAGATCCCGCTCCCCTTCTGCACCCTCTTTGGCAGCTCGACCCAGAGAGAGGACCGTCTTGCTGCTTTGCTGTGAGATTTCCTGGAGTCGGCTGGCTTCGGGAAGTGGGAAGGGCTAAAAATTCCCCTAGCAAAGTGCATTCCAGCCATCCAGCCAGAGCTGGTCTCCAAGCTGGTCCCAATCAACACAGCATCCCCAGAGCGACGCCAAGTCTCCCTGCAAAAGCCCCCAGCTGCACAGTGCCAGGGCAGCCACCTCCTGTTTTCTCCCCCTCCAGAGCTTAAGTAAAGCACGCTTGAAAATGGACTTTGCTGTGCTTTTTAAGTTCCCCCTTAGGAACATAAGCAGACTCTGAAGCATCTG